TTGCCCTAAATTCCAACGGAGTAGGATTGTAATTAACGTTATGGGGATTGGGATTGGGGTTAAGAGAGTCAGGATTAAATTTATGAGGCTTAGGGTTAAGGGTTGAACTTGGGACACGGGAATTTAGTGCGAGGCCGCCTATGATACCGGGGAGGACCATATGCCAGCAGTCGGCCGGTTTTTTAGAATAAATATATCGCAGAGAACAGTTTGAAAGCCAGAAGAGAAATCGGCAAGATCGCAGTTGGTAGCCAGACATTATAAGTTGATACTGTCGACGCACTTACTAGTTATCTGTAGGTATGCTTACCCTGTTTAGGGAACTTGTTATCAGTAAGTGTGCTCCTACTGACTTAGGCAGGTCGCCCGTTTCGGTCAGGCTGTTGGGTTTAGTGAGGGTTAGAATAGGCGTAGGTTAAGTTCTAGGATTGGGGTTTGCGTTTTTGGGTCAGGTTTCAGTGTTAGGATTGGGGTTAGTGTTATGACCCGCCTGGTACTTGAAATCCCCTGGAGCGTGTATGCGTTCGACCCTGGTTCCCAATCAAGGCAGCAGACAAAGAACACACGTCTGGCCACGGAACGTGTATTAGCAAACACGTATAAGCAAGTCACGTCTAGCTAAGGGTGACGCCTATTTATCACACGCTAGCGTGGTTCGCCGGCACTCGGTCCTATGACCTTCGGGAAGAGGGGAGTAGCCAATGGGGAAGCGCCTGATTGAGATGACAGCGCGGTAGAGAGAGAGCAAACGCACGTGATCTCCATTGATTGGTTTGCTCTTGTTTTTGGGAGTGTAGGCACTCCCAACACCTCCCCTCCAAGTGGGTCAGTACCGCTTTTGGCGTGGATTGATCTGCATCGGCAGTGTTGATCGGCGCACGCGGTTGGTTCGGCGTCTTAATTGTGGTTTGTTGTCTGGAGACCCGGGGGCAGTGACTGATATCGAAGGCGGTACATCCGAAGGAGGCGCAGCAGTGGGTTCGGGAACCGACCGATCTGCCGGAATGGCGAAGGTATCCAGTAGGATGTCAAGGGGGAGTGACGGCGCCGGATCGAGCCCAGTTGTGTTACTGCAATGTCGCCGTCGGATCTGGTTGTGGTGACGAACCCAGATTTCACCACCAACGTCGACGTCAAACAACATACTGCCTCTGTGCGCTACCACGGTTGCTTCAATCCAGTCTGGGAACTCCGCTCGATAATCACGGGCGAAGACAGGCGTTCCGATGGAGAGCTTGCTGCGAGAGACTGGAGAAGTCTGCGCGGGCTGCGCACCGGTAGGGACGAGGGCATGAAACGTTGTACGCAGTTTTCGGCCCATCAACGCCTCGGCAGGAGAAACGCCACCAGGGGACGCCGGGTTCGGTGTTGTCCTGTAGGAAAACAGGAATGCCTGGACTATCTCGTCCGTGGTCCCCTCCCCACGAGCTTTCAAGAGGGGAGTAGCCAATGGGGAAGCGCCTGATTGAGATGACAGCGCGGTAGAGAGAGAGCAAACGCACGTGATCTCCATTGATTGGTTTGCTCTTGTTTTTGGGAGTGTAGGCACTCCCAACAGTTAGGGCTATGCTTAAGGGCTACGCTTAAGGCTACGATTAGGTTTAAGATTTCGGTTTGGGTTAGGGTTCGGGTTAAGGTTCCCGTTAGGGTTACGGTTAAGGCTAAGGTTAGGGTTGGGGTTAGGCTTAGGGTTACGGCTAGGACTTGGGTTAGCGTTGGGTTTTAGGATTTCGGTTACGTTTCTGTTTCGGTGCTTAGGTTTAGGCTTTACAGTTCCGGTCAGTGTTGGTTTTTAGGGTTAATTTTGGGGTTAGGTTTTACGGTTAAGTTTAGAGTCAGGTGTGCGTATTACAGCTAGGTGTTACGGTTAGGCTTAGGGCTTTAGGGTTAGGTTTAAGGTTGCGGTTGGTTATTAGGTTTAAGGTTAGGGTTGGGGGTAGGCTTCAGTGTTAATGTTGGGATTATAGTTTAGCATTACGTTTAGTGTAACGGGTTAAGGTTGGGGTCAGTGTTAGAGTTACGTTCTAGGATTCCAGTACGGTTGGGTTTTGGGGCTTAGGGTTAGGTTTTGGGGTTAACGCTTGAGTTAGAGTTCAGGTATGAGGCTAGGGTAAGGGCCAGCGACCTCGCCGTCGCTTACCCACTCCTGGCTACCAACTGAGATCTAACCGATAAATCAATAAATGTACGCATGACAAACGATTGTCATTTGTCGGGCTTTTCGAAATTGAGCGGGCCACTTAATCATCATTATTCTACGTGTCAATAGCAGGAGATTGGCGGGACTGAATGAGAGTTCCCATGATGTGTTCAAGCAGTTCGGGAGACCTTAGGAACAAGTCATGCAACGGAAGGATTTAGAGGAGACACCATGCACTTTTTCGAGGCTATAAGCGACTCCTTCTACCTGTACACCGAGAAGTGGGCATTTTGAATTTAATTAAATGAAGGGCAACAAGCTAAATTTGCGCATATATATGCTGACTGGGACAGGACGTGGCAGTTCTGCCGTCGCGAACGCTCCAAGCTAAGCCGGAGTCACTTGGAACTTTAAAATTTACGAATGTGTTCGTCCGTTTCGATATCATCCTGGGACGTTGAAGAGAGTTGGCCAACTAGGCGTTCGTAGTTCTGCCATATCTCGATAGAAGAATAGGAATATCGATGATGGGAAAGTGAGGGGGGAGGAAGGAATGATAATAATAGGACGAAAAGAAAGAAGGATAAGAGGAGGAAGGGGAAGGTAGGGGAGGGGGGATGCGATGGAGGCGGTGGAGAAGCAGAGGAAGGAAAGAGACGGCTGATAAATGAAATTTGAGATTGGATGTTTTAATGGAATGCTTAAGATCAGTTTCCTTTAGATTATCAAAAAAATACACTTCGAGCTTGGAATCTACAAGCCGCCTTGATGATTCTGTTATTTAGGTTGTAACGTCATCAAAAACTAACGGACGTTCTTAATTCAAGGTTCTCAGGACAAGAACCGCTTGAATCGGAAGGTTTACAAAAATAATTATTACGAATTCCATTCATTTCAACCAAAGGACTGAATGATATTTCTGGCTGCATGTTGAGCAATGGTCAAATTTCAACACACTAAGTGATTTAAAGCTGCCTCCAACGCAGGGAATAGTTAAACTCCCAAGAATTTCTCGATTCACAGGCACGAATACTAAGCGGTTACTTTTAGACTTGTTTGTCGGCCGTGGTGCAATTGCAGGCAAAGGAAATACGTAGAAGAATCTGAAAGACTGCTCCGAGGGCGACTGAGTGAAAAAGAGGCAAAAGCGCGGAGAAATGACGTCAGCTTCAATGTCGTGGCTCGTCCCACAGGACTTGGTCACATATCCAAGTTCGACGAGGCCTAAATTCTCGCATGAGGAGCCGCTCTAATCAGGGTTCCCTAGCCTCCAGTCCATAAATAATTGCAACGATCTCACCCTCTATATTCTGTGCTGAGACTCTGTCTGGACAGATGAATTAACGACGCGGACAGCTCGCGGATGAACTTTGTTCATAATGCCATACCGAGTAATAAAGGCCTGTCGACTAATTAACCCAACAGGGGTACAACTGAGCTCATTGAAGTGATGACACAGAACGCAAGAGACGGCCAAAATTCGCAAGCAACCACCAGAAGGCCAAGGTAGTAAAAGATTAAAAAAGTCGACTGGTCCATGACCACCTATTTTGGTCGTTTACTTAAAATTCTGGTCGAATTTTTTTGTACAAAACGTTTTGATGGTGGAGAGTCAGCCAAGCCGTCCGAAAAGTCAGTCGCTCACTTCCTCTGATCCGGTTAGTCTTGAACATTTCCCATAATCAACATCTGTTGTGTTATGAGAATCGGAGGGAGAAGATACGCGACTGGAACGATTTTACGAGTTGCGATTGGTGGTGTTTTTGGCAATAGCCACTGCCTCCTATCCGCCTGATTTATTCTCAAAGGCAATTTACAGGCAGAGGTCGAGCTGTCGTCTTTTTCAGCAAACCACACCACTGCCAAAAAGGTCCGTAGTATGAGGGCTGTTTAGCATCGTAGACCGGGTTTCGTAACCGAATCACCGTGGCTTCTGTTACTCAGTGAAATCGTTGGTGCGGGGTACGTGCGTTGTGCGCCGAGGCGTGATAAACGACCTGAGAGGCACTTTGCAGTCGATTGGTTGGCCGATACTAACCAAACACGCGCCACTAGTAGTAGATGGAGCCTTAGTTTCGTGGGTTCCATAGTAGATATGCTTTGAGGGCTGTGTGCGTCTGCTATGTAATGCGTCAGCAAACCATGGCCCTGGCGTGCACTGGTAGCTGTCTGACGCCTGGTTCTCTGCCAGCGGATGCGCTTGAGCTCCCGCCGTGTATACAGGTCGTGTGCATGGTCCCCAGTGACCCATGCTGTCTTTCTCTTTGTGACCCATTCTCGTTCCTGGGTAAAATCTTGGTCAAATGTTTGTTGTGGACCAAGGGGCGTGGTTGCACGCCTAGGCGCGGGTCCAACCCCGCCAGTCACCTGCACCTACTCTCGCCTTCGACCTTCTTGACTATGTCTTGACCCCGGACCTCGGTGGGAAAGAGGAGAGGGTGTGGCAGATGTTGTGCAAGTATGCCTCGATTCTAAACTAATTCCGTACAACTGCACATGCCTATCCTCGCCTTGTTGTAGAGCACATGGCCGGCAACGTCGACGACAGCCGTGCTCTCAGATATGCTACCTTATGAAATATAACCGCAATTCTGAAATGCCCCTTCAGTTCGTAAAGACTGCTGAGACGGAATCGTCATATTAACCATCGTGTAGCATAATTCCAAACTAGGCTGGTTTAGTCAAGATGCCGACTTTCGAACGAGCTTGTGATTGGCCGCTTGCATAGGCCACAATTCGTAGAAAGTGACTACTCATGTAGCATAGCAATTTCCCATGGAGTTTTGATACCCTTGTAAATTCAATTAGAAAGCAATTGCGGAAATATATTTTCTTTTACTCATGTGGCAGCGAATTAGGTCTCATTCAAATTTAAAACTTGAAAATAGAGTATCATCCGTTTTTAAAAACTTTTTCAATGCCCGAGTAACTTTGAACTCGGCCTGCCGTTACACTTGGATTCAGGGATTCCAAACAACAAGCCGTATACTTTCTGTGCAAGGGGAATCACATGCCTCTATGCTCTATTAAAAGGGTGTTAAATACAGAACATAAAATTTCACAATGGATGTGGGCGACGCTGTCCACCTTATAAACTGCATTGGGAAACTCGCTAATGCGATGCTGTATGATTGGATATTTCACGGTCACAAATGTTCTCCTAATTAAGGACTTTTTTAAAACCCAAAGGAACTTTTTATTCAGGCATTAAACTTGAAGAAGACGTAACTTACTGCCGAATGAGTACTAGGAAGAATATTTTCATGCGTGTTTTCCATAAAATGTACCTGAATCTGTAAGGACGCCAAATATCGATGTTGAAAATTCCTGCTACTTAAGTGGTCATTTATTGCAGGGTCTAATTTTTTCATATCATCTGAAAGTAGTTTGTTGAAAAGCCGGCACCCTATGGCGTCTGACGTATTTTATGACTATGCTGTCTGCTAATCACTTTCGTAACTCCAGTTGAGTAGTCTTTTCATATCGTGAACCCATTTCAAAATTTTGGTCAATATTTCAGGGTATGAAGTGCTCTCACCTACCTTTTTTCCGTCGCCACGCTTTTCTTGGCACGGCCTCGAAATCACACAACAGGATCTATGTAATCGATCCGGAAGGTCCGGAATTGAATAAAGTAAAGAAGACATGGACTACCTCGAAATCGCTTGCCCGTTCCCCGCACACAAACCTCGCCACTGCCGTGGTTAGCTCAGAATGACTGAAGATGAGATTGACCGCAGTGGATGACAGAGCCGTATGACATATTCCGCCTCTTGGGTACCGCAATCCTACTGGCTCCTCTACCAACAACAACGAAGTTGAAGATGAGATGGCCTCAGCCGGCCGTTTCTGGCTCATCAGCCATCATCAGCCGACCTTACCCAATCGCAGGTTTTCGGGATCTGAGGTTCAAATCTGTGTTCATTGGGTATCGAGCACTAGTAAGTTCAACGCTCCAACCACGGAGTCACGGGCTTGTTATTCTCTCGTTTGAGATTGGGAGTAATAACCATGGTAGATGGCGCTCACCGATCAGATTATGGGGTAAGCTCGTACCATAGCAAGTAAACTGTGCCCACACAGAAGGAGTCTGCAATAGAGCCGACTTTGTGAGGAGCAGCTGACACCAAGCCGTGAAAATCGACTTGTTTTTATTAGCTGGGAACCATCTTTGGCAACGATAGAGTGTAGGAACCCCAACTATCATGAGTTAGCCTGTACGTGTTATGGTGGTAGAGGGGGTTTTACGGGTGGGGCACCCCACAGGACGGGAGAGCAGGAAGACACAGAAAAGAGGTAGATTTCTGCCGAAAGTCTTATCGTGCGCTGTCATTTGGCAATGAAAGTGAGCGTGAGAATTAAACAAAAACAAA